GTTCTCTCAGCAGAGGTGCCTTTCAGAATGCCTCTGGGATACTGATCCTTTGCGTGTGCCCTCTGCAGTGGTCACGGTCACCCCCTGTGCCCTGTGGCTGTTTCTGCCTTGACTGCTCTTCCAAAGGAGGGCACAAGTGACAGCCTGGGGACAGAAGCAGGCATGGCCTCTAGGCTGTCTCTGCCCATCACCCAGTCACCCAGAGGCTCAGGGAGGGCCAGGTCACCTTCAGTGACCTGTGCCCAAGACTCTCCAAATGTCCTTTGGTGGCTGACGGCGCGGCTAGCCTGCCCGCTACATGCAGCACCCAAGTGGGACTGGACGGGGCTTACTCCTCATGGACCTGAGCGGTAAGACCTCAGCTGGCTCCTCCCTTCTCCCCAGCTGTTAATCCCCCCCCCACTCCGTTTCGAACCCCACCCCAATCTGCTCCCAGACAACCCTCCTCCAACCCCAGTGTTGAAAGAACCGCAACGTTCACCATCGCCTGGACAGCTACGTTGTGAAACCCCATTTGAAACAGTTAAGAAAAATAAATAAATAAATTGGAAAACAAACAGCAAAACCCTCAAGTTACATTCAAAGGAAGGCTGAAGGGAGAATGTTTTTTAGTACTTGTTCTCTCTTCCAGTCATTAGTTCAAAAAGAGCCGGGTAGAAGTTGCCCCGACAGCGTGGGGGGCTGTCCCGAACAGCAGAGTGATGGGTTTGGGAAGCCCTGTCCAGAGCTCCACCACACCACCCAGAGCTCCTGCACGAGATAAGATACAGCACATGCTGTTCGGTGTGGTTGTTGCCCTGTGGTGTTGCCTACCAGCTTCTTGACCCAGCTGGAAGGAACATCCTTTTAGCTAAAGGAAAAGAAAAGCTGATTTAGACTGACCGGAGAGCAGGGGCTAAACGCCCCCTCCCCCACATAAGTCTGGGTTAGCACTGGCAGGAGCTGACCTATTTGGGAGACTATGCCGTTAATCCCAGAGGGATTTGGGTTTGTGGTAAATCCTCTGGTTGCAAAGGCAGGTGAATACCTGGGGATTTGTGATCAGGAATTCCTGAACAACTGAATCAATTTGTCAATGACCAATTTTGGGTAAAGACGGGTCACTGCTAACTTTGGGGTTGTCAAAATTCGACATTAAGAGAATGCCCTCTCTCTGCCATTTCTAATCCAGACTAAGGTAGCCGTCTCTCTGCAAGCCATTTCAACTGGCTAATCTACTGTGTGATTCCCTAGTATAAGCCTTACTCAACGAGCTTCCCTTCCCCCCTGAAGATTCATCCCAGAAGCTCTAGCAAATGGGCCATTGGCATGCACAGCCCATGGATTATACAAGCTGAGCTCATGATGGGAGCACAGAGTGCACGAATCCTGGCTTTGCTGGACCCAAGAGACTTTATGGGTTTCTTTTCTAAGCCTTGTAATCCAATGGGTGACTTGAGTCACTCCTGTTTGAGAGCTGAAGTTCAGACAAGCTTAGTATTGTTCTTTTAAGATTCCACACAGCTAGAGGGCACCTGGGTGGCTCAGTCAGTTAAACGTCTGCCTTCAGCTCCAGTCATGATCCTGGGGTCCTGGGATGGAGCCCTGCGTGGATAACCTTGCTCAGCGGGGAATCTGCTTCTCCGTCTTCCCTCTGACTCGTGCTCTCTTTCTCTCTCTCAGATGAATAAATAAATAACCTTTTTAAAAAAATAACTACGCTGCTGGTTAGTGATATAGCCAGGATCCAAACCCAGACCTGCTAGACTTTCTACTACGCTGAGCTCACTCACGACCCAACAGTGTGTTTTTACCCCACAATAAAAAGCACTATTGTCCTGTCAGGCTCTGGAGCATTTTCAATCTGGGGCAGCGGTAGGAAGCGTGAGGATGAGGCAGAGGACAGAAGGAAGCATGGCAAGTGCACTGGAAATAGAATGCTCACGTCCACAATGGGGGCAGTGAGAGAAGAATTAACACGGCAGGATGTCGAGTCTGTGATGCGGAAGGGAAGGCGATGAGAAGCTCTCGGAGGGAGAATACGGCAGAAAGGGAGGGAGAGAGGAAAAGGATGGGGAGGAGATCACACAAATGGAAAGCTGAGGGGAGATGTGCAACTAGGATTTGTGGCCACTCCTGAGGAAGGGAAAGCGCAAATTGTCGTGATGAAGTTCTAGAACCTAGGTGAGGTTCGGTGGGGTGAGGTCCCGAGCCGATGACCAAGAGAGAATTCTTGAGACATCTTTGGCGCAAAAATGGTGGTTTATTAAAGCACGGGGACAGGACCCGTGGGCGGGAAGAGCTGCTGCCCCGGGTTGTGAGAGGTGGCATGTTATGTACCACGCAGTTGGGGGAAGGTGAGGGAAAGGGAGGTTTCAACGGAGCTTTCGTATGCTAAAGAGGGCCTACAAGGTGCTGGGATACGGGAGGTCTTGCGGCTTGATCAAGGTTGTCTTTCCTTTTCAGCAAGCCATTAATATCAAGATAGTTGGGAGATTCCTAAAGAATGTCACATTTGTCCCACCCAGGAGTGGTGGGGGTGAGGGGGAGATTGTGAGGTGTCAGCCTTTTGCTTTGTCCTCAGCCAGCCTTCTGCTCCCTCATCAGTGGGACAGGTGTCTTCTTTAAAGACGCAATTGTAGAGACTTGCCTTCTGAAAGAGAGACCCCCAGGGTGCAGTGTGAACATTCTTACCACACTCTGGGCAAGAAGGAAAGCCCAGAAGCTGTATCTAATAGCTGAGCTAGGATGAGAATTCAGGCTTCCTCAATCCCATTTGCTTTTAATCACTTTCTGAATTCTGTACCCTTTTCCCTCCCTAAGAATTTCAGGTAGCACTGCTGGCCGTCATATCATCAAACAGTACAGAACTCAGATCTGCTCCCCCTTGTTAATTCAGTCAGGTCTTTTCCCGCTTACTAAGTCATCCCACAGTAGGATGTTACTTAGTGTCATTACGTCTGGATAGGACTGTACTTCCTCCAAAATCGTCTTAGGCAGAGGGAGATGCTGGAATCATAAGTCTTCATAACGATGAGTGACTACAGGGTAGTTTTCTATTTATTTCAGAACCTTAAGATTTCAGAACTGGATGAAATTAATAAAAATCAGCTAGTAAAAGCACCTTCTTTTAATTAAAATAGAACTACTATGTGACCCAGCAACTCTTCTTTCCAAAGAAAACGGAAATACCAATTCAAAGAGATACATGCACCCCTACGTCCACTGCAGCATTTTTTACAGTAGCCAAGATGACAGAAGCCACCTCAGTGTCCATCAGTAGATGAGCGGATAGAAAGAGGTGGTGTGCGTACACGATAGAATACTACTCGGCCATAGAAAAGAATGAGGTCTTGCCATTTGCAACACAGATGGACCTTGATGGCGTTTTGCTAAGTGAGATAAGTCAAAGAGAGGCAAATACCCTATGGTTTCACTTCCATGTGCAATCAGAACAATAATTGGACGCAGGGAATGGATTGGTGATTGCCAGAGGGGAGGAGGGTTGGGGTGGGGGGCTACGTGGGTGACGGGAGTGAAGAGGTACAGACTTCCGGTTACAAGATCAGTAAGTCATGGGTATGGACAGCGTGATAAGTACAGTGGATAACGCTAGAATGCATATTCGAAAGTTGCTAAGAGAGCAGAGCTTAAAAGTTATCACAAGAAAAAAAATCTCATGACTTTGTAAGGTGGTGCATGATCATTAGACTTACAATGGTGATCATTTGACAGTCAGTTCACACGTCAAGTCGTTATGTTGTACCTGAAACTAATTTAAGGTTAAATGTCAAGGACATCTCAATTAGAAGAAAATACCTTTTTTTTTTTTTTTAAAGATTTTTTATTTAGTTATTTGACAGATCACAAGTAGGCAGAGAGGCAGGCAGAGAGAGAGGAGGAAGCAGGCTCCCTGCTGAGCAGAGAGCCCGATGCGGGGCTCGATCCCAGGACCCTGAGATCATGACCCGAGCTGAAGGCAGAGGCTTTAACCCACTGAGCCACCCAGGCGCCCCGAAGAAAATACCTTTTTTATTAGAAGTGAAAACCTCAGCTCAGAGAGGGAATGGTGGGAAGATGTGGGTCCTGTGTGGTCTCTGCAATTCTAAAATGTCATGGCTGTTGAATCACAGTTAGAAATGACAGCTGAACACAGGTCCTCTTGGACAAATGTCTCATTGACAGGTGTCTTTCAGACTACAGAAACACACGGGATATTTCAGGAATCACTTCACCATGATGGGTGTTTAAAAACTTTCTCATGAAAGCGCACACGCGCACCCATACACACTCCCACATACATACATACACCGCCCTCTTCTCCTGTTACGTTTTACACAGCCCGCGAGGGCTACACAACCAGCAACCTCGTGAACAAACTGCCACAATGTCTGCTTCCTTTGAAAAACAGCTGCGGCAGGGAGTAGGCCGGGGTACAAGCGAACCTCCACCTTCCCAGAAGACGATTCTGGGGTTCACAGCACCCTGGGTCACTGCCCACAGGCGACCCCCTGGCTGGGCCGGCCCGAGAGTTGCTGGGGGTTGGCGGTGCAGACGCAGAGGGCATAGGATTCCTGACCCAGCAAACCTGCATCCCAGAGCGGAACAGAGCCGGTGGGAGCTTACTCTTCTCTCCCCTCTTCCTTTATTCTCAGGAGGGCCGGCTGTGCAGCCACAAACGGTATGTAGCACCCATCAGCTTCTGTAAGGATCCTCTGTGAGTTTCCGAGGGCCGCTGTAACAAATTACCATAAACTCAGTGGCTTAAGACAACAGTCATTTATTCTCTTACAGATCTGGAGGCTCGAGGTCTGAAACCAAGGTGTCAGCAAGGCCACGTGCCCCTCTAAGACTCCAGGGAGGATCCTGGCTTGTGGGGGCGGCCAGCACGCCTTGGCTTTCCCTGGCTCGAAGCCGCATCACCCGTCTCTGCTTCTGTGGTCCCCAGGCCTCCTCGCCCCTGTGGGTCTCTGGCTCCCAATCCCGCTCTCCTCGTTAAGGAGGCCAGATGCTGGAGGAGCTCATCTTCCCTTGATCACATCGGCAAAGACCCTATTCCCAGCTAAGGTCACATTCGCAGGTACCAGGGTTGGGGACTTCAGCCTGTCTTCCCGGGGACACCATCCATCCCAGAACAAGGTGGGCATAGGTGGGAACCTATGGGGGTTAGGTGGCTTCTGAGTCCGGTAGGACCCTTTACAGGTGTCCTGTGCTGGGGCGTGAGCACTGATGGAGAGCACCTCGGGTGTGCGCGGCTTCACGTCGTGGTGCGCTCCCGGACCGAGCCGGAGTACACAAGGCGAGCACGGTCCCGCTCTCCAGAACGAGGAGACTCGAAAACGTGCTCACTCCCCTAGAGTCCGCAGTATTTCCTGACGCGTGAAGCCTCTCCTCCTACAGTTTCAACTCCTCATTCAATTTGCGTCCCCAACTTTTGTGTTTCTATGTCTCTTCCTTACATCCTGGCTCCAACACGCATGATAAATGAAGTGTGTTTGCAGGCCACCCGTGAAGGCTCTTCTGCCAGCTCCCCAAAGCCAACATGGAACTTAATATAAACACAGTCCTGAGACATTTGGAAATGATGCAAAGAGGGAACGTAGAGGTCATAAAACAGTTCACGGGAGGTATTGGTTTTTGAAGTAGGTCTTAATTCCTAAGAGGTTTCAATTTCTCCTTTGTTCATTTTATATACATCATTAAGGTTGTATCCTTCACGTTAGGTAGTTGCTGAAATTGGGGATCGTCTCCCTTTACTTTTGGAGTGAATATGACGCAGAGGTAACCTTCTCTTAACATTAAACTCCAGCATCTGCACAGGAGAGAGATTTCCACGGGGCTCCAAGGACACTTGCCCGTTGGTCAGTGCTGGCTCTGCTGCAGGCTGACTTTGGCCTCACACGCACAGGTCTGAGCAGTGTTAACCCAGAGGAAAGCCCAGCTGGAGGGCGCAGGACACCACGGGGGACGCTGTCACTCGAAGAGCTCCAGGTAATCCGGTGGCTCGCCCTGCTGACCACAGGGGTAGAGGAGGAGCTCCTTCCCCAGGGAGGTTATGGGCTCCACCTGTGAATCAGAAGGCAGAGATCAGGCTGCGCTGTAGTGGGCAGGTTGTTGAGACGGTCGAAATAAGAAGGTCATGCCCTTCCCTGCCTCCTCGGAGCACACAACTTCCTATTTGCCCTTGATTTACATGAAGCTTTATCAGTTTATGGCAATCTTAGAAGAGATTTTCTCATCTGCAAATTGCCATGTACCCTCTTTCCCTCCCAGGCTTGAGTTCTCACTAAGTGTGGCCTCAGATGCGATCAGCGTGTGCACAGGCTTTTAGCATCTCCTCCATTCTCGGCCCCAGTGCATTCTCCCTGAGTATCCGAGGAAGAACTAGGTTCAACGATAAAGGAATTGTAATTAAGAGTCCTGATTATCCGGAAGAATTATCAGACACTAATCCCCCATTACTCGTCTCAATCTCTTTTCTTATAATTGCCTTTCACTGCTAGAGCTGCTGTGGGACAACAATTCATAGAGCAAGTCAAGCCTGTACACCGGGTCACCTTGTGGTAGTCCACCAGCGCGGCCAGGGTGGCGTGCTGCAGCCGGTCCACGCCCAGGAAGCTGTAGGAGTCCGTGGAGGCATCTATGAGGAAATGCTTACAGCCATCCTCGGACAGATAGGACAGGGCGTAGCCTTTGATCCTTTCACTGACGCGGACCAGAAAACTGCCCGGCTCACAAGTACTCAGAAGCTCATTTGCTCTCTTTAATGTCAGGATCCCTGCAGGAAAGAAAAGCAGGTATTTTAGCCAAATCATTTCCAGAACTGTCTTCAGTTAATATAGCTGCATGCATAAAGTTTAGGAAAAAGTAAGAGCAACTTCAGTCCATTTTGGACTTCTTAAGAATATACTATAGTATCACTCATCTCCTGGTATTCGGTAACTGGGCGAGCAGGGCGGCTGACAGTGGCCAATGGGTAACATAAATGAGAGCGTCAAGATTTAGCCTTCGGAATACGTTCCCATCTACGCCCCCCGTTATACCACCGCAGGTGTTAGGCGGCTTCTGAGTCTGGCAGGACCCTTTATAGGTGTCCTGGAAGCATTCCATCTGGAAGGGGACTGGAAGGTGTCTTCCTCGGTTTATTTCTGGGGACTCTGTGGCCTGGAGCATCTTCCTATATGGTCTTAGACAGTGGTTCTCCACCAGGACAACGTCTGGAAATATCTGAGAGACATTTTTGGTTGTCACGGGCAGAGGAGGCGATGGGCTCCCAGAGAGGCCAGGGATGCTGCTAAACATCCGACAGTGCACGGGCAGCTTCAGCTACGAAGAATCCTCCGACCCAAACATCAGTTGTGCTGAGCTGAGGGGCCTGGTCTAGGAGTCAGCAAGTTAGTAACAGAACCGGGAGGGACCCAGGTCTACAAGTCTTTCTACTTGGGTTACTCTCTACTGGGTTATACTCCTAAGTGATGCTTCAGTGGCATTTAAAGGAATAAAAATATGTACACGTATGTATATATGGACATACATGTGCTCATATATTTATGTCTTCATATGTTTGTCTTCAAATATATTCAAGATGAAACTCTTCATTTACATGAAGTTTTGTGTGTGTGTGTGTGTGTGTGTGTATACACACTTTAGAAGCCTCATGAATTCACACTAATTCAGACCAGCCTTTCCTCCCAACTAGTCCAAACTCATGAGGTTTCACTCCTATTCCCAATTTCCCTTCTTAGTCCTGTTGCAGTTCATCAGATGAATCAGTGACATGGTGAGACCTGCAGAGAGTGCGCAAACACATCTCGGAGAGATGGTGAAGTCATTCACTTAATCAGCAGGTTCGGATCTGGGAGGAGGAGCAGAATTCTCCCTGTGATCCCTTTCACCACGGCAGATAGAAGCTCTTACTTCTGTTTCAGGGTTAGCTCCATACTGATACTCTGTATCTTAGTAAAAGAACCTCATGGTGAAAAGGCAATGGATGGACCATTATAGCCCTTTAGTCTTGTCATTAGTAAAGTTAATTGAGAATTGAACCCTAATTATCCAGAGTATGACATCAGATGAAAGCATCGCTGCTTTCTGGGGCACCTGGGTAATGTAGTCAGTTGAGCATCTGATTCTTGATCTCGGCTCAGGTCAGGATTTCAGGATCACGAGATCAAGCCCCACATTGGGCTCTGTGTTTAGTGTGGAGTTTGCTTAAGATTCTCTCTCCCTCTCCCCTTTCCCCCTGCTCTCATACCTGCTCTCCCTCTCTCTCAATACATTTTTTTTTTAAATCTTTATTTTCTTTTTTCTAAGTAGACCTTTAATAAAGAGGGGATTACAAAAAATCACCCGATCTCTCCTAGCCAAGACCTACCAACCAGCTCCTCTGCCTTCTCTTCTCCCATGTACATTTCAAGAGGCCCCAGGGCTGGCACCTCAAACCCAACTCTGTGTAGCTCAATTCCAGTGAAACACAGGGATGAGAACTGGGGGTGTTGCACAGATAGGGAATGTCCCTGAAACAAAAGAGCCATGGCCTCTCTCCTAGGGCCTCCAGGTCTACCGATCCAAGCCCAGCAAGGTTACCATGATGCTCATGCATTATCTCCATCACCACCTGCTACCTTTCTGCCCTTTCCCTGATGAGACTTGAGCCAGTGGAAACTGCAGGCACCACTGACAGTGAGTGAGCCTCGTGGGTCAGCTGCTGTACCGTCCACTTCAGGTGCTCAAATGATGCCCATCTAAGATCCAACAGATACAGACCGCTGCTTCTGTTGGCCCGTTTTACCTTTCCAATCACACCTGACCCTATTGATAAGTGACAGATGACAACCATAATCTGAAGAAAGGCAACAGGCGAGCAGCCTACCTAGGGACCAAACGTGACTGAAGTTTCAAGACTCTGTATTTGTCTATAAAGACAGGGATATTTTTCACTGACACTGAAAACTGCCCTTCAGAGGTGAGTGAAGGAGAAGCAGCATTCTGGAAGAAAGATTTCTCTCTTCTTCCAGACTTACCGACAGCCTAACTCTGAAATTCCAGGTTACTTCAACAGATGGGGTAGATGTTATAACCTTAGCATGTTATCCAGATGGATTTAGATTCCTAAAACGAAAGCTATTCTGGAAAATTATAACCGAACCTGGGTTGTTAGGTTAAATTCTTCCTAAAATCAGATCAGACAGTAGCTGTAAATCAAACTTCCCGAAAGCATCTCAAACTGTAATTATTACCCATTCCACAAAGATCTGGGCACTGCGTAATTTCCAGAGACACCAGAACACAATAAAATGATTTTGTGGCAAATCGTAAGTCCTAATGGAGGCTCGAATACTGTGGTTCTGAGGTTCAGAGGTGAAGTGCTGTGGAGACCACGCTTCGCTCTTTCTGCTTTACAACAGGATTCTCATTCCTGAAGAGAACGCCGTCTGGCTCATCTGATACTTGTCCACGCACAATCGCGATTCCACGGAAGGCAGGGAGGCTATGATTGCTGCCAAGCAGGGAGCTTTGTCCGCCTGCGAAGAGAGTTCTCGACCGCAAAGCCAAAATCCAGTGTCAAATACTAATGGCTGCGGACTTGAGCAGTCTCCTTAGCCAGGTGCGTGACTCTAAGAATTCTGAAGCAGTGGCCTTCATCCACCCCCTAAAGGCAGTGACGCCTCCAGGCAACTTCCCTCTGACCAGCTCTCTTCAAGCATATTCTAAGAACCAAGCCTCTGTGAGTTCACAGGAGGATTTCCGTGCCAGCGATGAAGGGTAAATAAAAAGTTTCCTTTGACTTCATTTCATTTCAATTACTTTGAAAAGACAGATCTTCCCCCAGCACTGCTCCGTTTGAATCTGGGCAGGGGGTGCCAGAACCACCCCAGTCCAGAAGAAAGCAGATGTCGCTGCACGAGGTCTTACCGGGCAGCTTCTGACTCTTGAAGAGCCTGGACAGAGCTGCCTACCACCCCTGAGAGCCTGAGCACCCAGCCTGGAGGTTCCCAACAGCAGGAGCTGGGAGGGAGCAGACAAAAATGTCCCATTCCTTTCTCTGTGTGATGCCAGGGCACACTTGAGGACTGTGCTATTCAACACATTTCTGTGGCAATGCAATGCCTGCGCTGGCCCTGCGGTACTGAGGACCTGAAATGTAGCTAGTATGATAGAGGGACTCAACCCCTAATTTTATTTAATTTTAATTAATTTTGGTGTAAAGAGCCACATATGTGGCGTGGCTGCCGTGTTGGACAGCAGAGCTTTAAACCCCACTGCAGTGAAGGGAGAGCTGCATGATAGGCTTTATGTTTTCCACAAAAGAGGGTGTATAGATCCCAAGAGACTTGAAATAACTCAGAAACCCTACCATGGCCCTTGTTGGAGATCCACCTGGCAGCAACCACCTTACAGAAGGAGGACAGGTCAGTGGGATGCCCTTCTCCACAGCCTCCTTCTGGAAAATGCCTACACATTCTGTAAGATGCAACTTAATAGCATGAAGCTTTCTGACTTCTTCCTGAGCAGTAAGTCAAGGTTCCTCTGCACCTGCTGAGCACCTGTTCCCACCTCCACCTGAGACTCCCCTGGTCTATCCAGGGTCCCCCCCGGTTCTCCCTCCCTCCTACCATGTACTATCCACAGCTCCATTGGAGTACTCACAGCATATTCTACTGTCTCTCCCTGTCCCACATCCTTGTGATCTCCTAGAGGCCAACCACCACATCTTATTTTCACACTCTCAGCACCTACCACTTACAAGATGCCCAAGAAAAGGTCTAATGAGTAATTCTGTCTTATAATCAGACCAGAAACTTTCTTCTCTGGGATGCTTCTATGCAGCCATTGCCTTGAGTCTGATCACTTATGGACAGGGACAAGGGATGCATTTCAGGTTTTTCTGAAGCACTACTAACTTTGTTCATACATATGTAGGGCCTGTGTCCAAAGTCTGGAAAATGTGTTTAAAAACCGAATGGAAGGTAACAAATAATAGTAGCATACAGAGTCCTTCACGTCTGCCTGGCACTCCTCAAATGGCACCTTAATCCTCAAAGCAGCCTGACAAACAGGCACTGTTCTTCTCTCAAATCTCAGATGAGCAAAACCTGCATCAGAGAGAGTTCCTAATGTGCTGCAGGTCATGTGGTTAGGCCAGGGGACGCACTGGTCTTGCACCCGGGCAGTCTGACTGCAGAGTTCAGGCTCTCACCCAACTAGAATATTCCCCTGAGCTAGCAGTTCACATCGCTCAACGTGCCTTCTTTCACTTAATTCCCAAACAACTCAAAACAAACAGAACTGGTATTATTACCATCACCATACAAATGGGAAAACGGAAGGAGAACAGGTATATGCCCAGGGTTATAGGATTAGTTAGTGATGGTTTCAGTTCTCTTGTCTCTCACTCAAGTATTTTGCTTTTTAACCCCCACCCGAGCTCATGAAATTTTCCTGAAATTGGCTGAAAATAAATTATGAATATTTATTTCACAAAGAGGTATTCATTTCTAAGCTGGACAACATAGAGTTGGGGGGCCTTGGGGGAGAAAGAGAATTCCCAAACATACTCCCAGTTGAGTGTAGAGCCTGATGTAGGGCTCAATTCTAGGACCCCAAGATCATGACATGAGCTGAGATCATGACCTGAGATGAAAACAAGAGTTGGATGCTCGACCAACTGAGCCACCCAGGTGCCCCTGACCCAAGCAACGTAAAGAAGATGCATTTGTCGTGAAGACTTACGTACAGTCACTTGGATGTAGAATTGAGGCATTAGTGACCTCTGCC